GGTAAGAAGTATACTGACAGAAAAGAAGGATGCCAGCCAAATCATGCCTGCCAGCCAAGGTGACTAAGCAGTGAAACAAACAGTTGGGACAAACAGGGAGCAGCCAAATAGTGCTGATGCCCATTGCTCATGCCTTCGCGTGCCCAGATCAAAGGCTTCTTCTAGATGCCCCTGCACCGGCACAGACACTCCTAATGTCCAAGATACCTGCACCCAGCGAGTGGGAGAAGCTCCCTCAGGCTTTCACTAGAAATACTTTTTCATTTTCTCATCCCTAGTTTTTTTTAGATTCTTATTCTTTTTCTTCTTTTCTGCCATGCTAATCCCAATTCCCCAGTAAACTGTATGAGCGCTGAGGGTGGAAATGATACATTCTCCTTCACCCCAGGTATCTCATCTTTTACTCAGGAAGTGGTGGCTGCAGGAAATCCAAGGGCCCATAGAAAAGAATGACTACCACAGAGCCATTTCTCAAAGAAAACATTTTGTTTTCCCGAAAAGCCTATGTTAAGTTGAATTTTAATGGTTATCCTTAACCATTGTGTCAAGAGAGTGTTTTATTGTATCTCTGACTTTAAGATAGGAAAAATTAATGTTTTAACTTGCAACGTAGTGGTCCTTCGGGAAACTGCTTTCATGGATTTTTTTCTTTTTACACTTTGTGGCAATTGTTTTCATGAAAATGTGTTTTCCTAAACAGCATTTGAAAGTGTTTCCTTCTGAAGTCCAAAGACATTCATCGTGACATCTCATTTCCCCTATTATTTTGCTTCATAAATTCCTTTTTCCACAGACTAAACAGCACTTTTTTTGAATATGATAATTATGAATTACTGAGGACCAAATAAATGAGATTTTCTTGTGGCTACATGAAATAGGTTTGCAAAGAGCCTTTAACATGACATGAAATCTCTCCCAAATTCCCAGCTTTTCAACTGAATTCATTAGTTATGTCAAATCTTATCATTTCTAACTTTGTTTTCCCAAATTGTTCCCCAAAACTTAAATAGTCTTTAAATCAAAATGAATGGTTTAAGAAGAGAGAAGCAAGAAGAAAATGAGAAGATAATACCTTGTGGGAGCCATAGTTTCCAACCAAATGATCTCACTCTCCCCTCTGGCTTTTATTATTGAGCCCCACCCCCATAGTGTCCTCTTGGTGGGTACAATTGTGTGTAACAACTCCGGTGACACTGGCTGCAAATCACTGGAGATTCAGACACGAGGCATGGAAAGGTCTTCTTTTTCATCATTTTTAAGCATGGAATCATTCCCTCTAGGCGTCTAGTGTCTCATCACTAGAGGAGAATAGACAAGAGAGTGTTGGAGGAAAGGGGAGGAGGAACAGAAAAGCAAGTTGCAGGGTAGTGGGCTAGGGTCTAAATAAACATCCAAAACAGTGCTGTATTTGACTCAGGACCACATACATGTGGCAATAAGGAAATTATCACAAATGTGGACATTGGCAGAACTTTGTGACCTGATGTGATTAACAACCCATTCTGTCAAATAACTAACTATCCTAATAAAAAAAATAATTGAGCAGTTTTCTGTTAGCCCTTATTGTTGGCTCTCCTTGAGTTTTGTGACCTTTAACAAGACATTTAACCAGGCAACAGCCTTCATGCTGACTTATGACCATCCTAATAACCCTTATTTCCCTTCCCTCTCCTCCCCTCCCCTCCCCTCCCCTCCCCTGCCCCCCTCCCCTCCCCTCCCCTCCCTCTCTCTTTCTTTTTTCTTTCTTTTTCTTTTCTTTCTCTTTCTTTCTCCCTCTCTCTCTCCCTCTCTTTCTCTCTCCCCTCCCTTCTTCCCTCCCTTTCACCTTCCTTTCTTCCTTACCTCCCCCTCCCTTCTTCCCTCTATTTTTCTTCTTCCTTTCTTTTCTTTTTTTTTCCCCTTGCTTTTTAGAAACTTTCAAATGGTTCAGTCAGGAGGACATTTTTTAACTAATTTTCTCTTAAGTGTTTTTATGTTAGAAAGTTCAAAACAACTATTTAGCATTTAGATATTGGAAATCAATCATGTGAGAAGTTGCTTGGTAATAGCATAATTGCAATAGTTGCAATAACAAAATAATGCATAGATTTGCAGTTGTACAATAAGAAATTCAGAATATTTGTTACCAATAGGGAGGAAGGAAGTATAATGATATTGGAGGGACATATATAGGAGACATTAATGGAATCTACTGTGACTCATATTCTGGAAAATGTTAAAAATTTTGATCAAGTTAGGCAGAGGATATAAAGTTTTTTCTATTGTGATAGTTTTCAAATGTGATGTATATGATTGTAATTTTTCAAAAGTGTTTCAGAAAATAAGAAAATCAGCCAAGCATGGTGGCTCATGCCTGTAATCCCAACACTTTGGGAGGCCAAGGTAGACACATTGCTTGAGACCAAGAATTGTAGACCAGCTTGGGCAACATAGTGAGACACTGTCTCTAAAATAAAACTTTTTTTAAATTAGCCTGACGCATTGACACATGCCTGTAGTTCCAGCTGATCAGGAGGTTGAAGCAGGAGGATCGCTTGAGTGAGCCCAGATTAAGGCTGCAGTGAGCCATGATTGTGCCATTGCACTCCAGCCTAGTTGACTGAGTGAGACGGTCTCCAAAAATAAAATAAAATAATTAATAAATATGAAAAGAATATAAAATGATTTCACCCCTCACCAGGAGCCAGCCCTTCTCTGTCCATCTCATTGCTTTGCTTTTCTTCCTGTTTTACAGCCCTCTTCCACCTCAAATGCTGCCATAGAATTGAGTATTGAAAAACATTTGAAATTTCCCTCCAATTATAATCACTAATTGCATATTAGTGGCATATACATATATTTATAATGGCATAATACACATATTTGTAAATAGGGAACATCTTTATGAGATAGATAACTTTCACAGGAGAAGGCTAGAGATGCAATATCATAATTAGTGGCTGGAAAATGCTTATAAAACTTCATCTCTCTGTAAGTCACTGAGATAAGAAATAGGAAAGGTAGATAGTCCCTCAAGGATTTTACAATCTATAAAGCTATATGACACAGGTGCTACCAACCTTTGCAATTTCTATAGCAGTTAAGCAGTATGAATTAGTCTCAAAACAGAATTATACATCATTAAAAATCTAGAACGTGGGTATTGACTCCTTTATTATGAATTTGTTCTTCAGATATACTTGTACATGATTTATATATAAGGCTTGTTTGTTATAGCAAAAGGCTGAAAGTAACCCAAATATTCCTCAGCATGGATCCGATTAAAGATATTGAACGCTTTAAGGGCATTAACTAGGTTTATGGACTTTCAGATCCCCTTGCTCACTGGAAAATCTGACCCATAGTGAGTGAGTGAGGTATGTATACATTTGGTCTGAATTGAACAACTGACTGATTAGGGCGGGAAACTGGGGGTCTCTAGTGAATGCCCTCCTATGAGAAGGAATAAAGTTCTCATGCATTTGCCTTTTAAAGGACAAATTATATTTTGCCATTGCTACTATCGGGGACGCCAAAGTAGTACAAACCATTGATATTTTAAATAATAAAACTTATGACCACGGCTCAGTAGACTCCCACTGGAACCTGCTTCAAAGCATAAACAAGAATCATTTATAGTTAACAGAATGACCGTTGATATGCAAATGGTTCTGCATAAATAGCTGTAAGTGCAGGAGAATAACTCACTTTCTCAGTAGGCTGAATACTCCCGTTGTGTTTACCTTACATATTTGTTTTGATAATTCATTTTTTAGTACAATAATGACTTAAGCCAACTCACTTTCTAACAATATATTGCAATGTGAAGTTTTGAATATCAAACTTTTTAGGATTTGTACTATTTATCTTCCCTCTAGAGAAGCTGTGAGGGAGGAGTTTTTACTTTTAGCAATAGAACTCCAGAAAATATTGCAGATCCCCATTCTCCTACCTGACTATGAGGTATATATTTATATACCTGCATATTAACATATGTGTGATTACACATTGTTAGCATTCTAAAATTCCTGTAGGTGCGCTCTCGTGTACAGCTCCTATGTTGACATGTATTCTTTTTCTTCTGACTGCATGGAATTTCATTGGACATGCAGGTCTGTAGAAGGGCGGGTTGGTAGCAGGCTATGGAGAGAACCTTCTTTTCTCTTTGAAACCTGCTATGGGATTTTATTTTTTCCTTAGAAAAGCATAATTTTTGAGAATATTAAAATATAAAAAGAAAAATTTATGTGAAAATGAGTTATTTATATTTAACAAAAACTACATGACTACTTGTTTAAATATCCATCTGGAAATGGCTGTCAGGAATGAGGCAGTCACCAGCCTCTCAAGAAGAACCTAAGTGTGCTCCCACCAGCTTGATGTTGTGACTTTGAGTAGCAGTGATTTCACACTAGCCCTGTTTGCCCAGTGCATGTGTACTGTGCAGTTTTCTACAGGGCAGGCTGCGAGATGATACCAAGAATTGCAGAGTGCAGTTTCACCTCCAGTCCTGGTGTAGGCACTCACGTCTTATAATCTAGCATTTCTGAGATCCACATTAAGTTGAAGACACTTTTGTAAAACTGTATTTGTCAACATTAAAAAAAAAAACCATTGTGTGTGATCCACACAGCCATCTTACAATTTCTTAAAGCATTATTTAAAGTTTCAAAATAAATGGAACTAATATTATGCCTGAAACCAGATGTAACTCATTATAATGTTGAGGATGCTTTTTTGAACCACACTACACCATTCTGAAAATTTAGGTATCTTGGGAAAGAGGATAAAGAGTTTTGAGAAATCTCCTCCACTGAGACTTTCTGCCTGGACAACATATGTCGGGCTGGGCAGCACAGGAAAGGCGAGGTAGCCCCAGTCCTCTTTATGGGGCACAATTTTGGAGACTAGCTGCTTGAGGAATGGAGCTGGACTCCTGTGGTAAGCTCAGGATTTGCCCCTTCTTGCATAGACCAAATGTCTTAAATTTTGTTTTCTGTTTTTCCCGTCTTTCCCCTTAGAGCATTGTGTGTACTGGTCAGCGTCAATGGCACCCAGACCCCGTCCTGGTCCACTGCATCCAGTCGTGTGAGGTAAGACAGCTTCTCCTTCCTCAGCTCAGACTAGAGGACTCAGGTGGATTTAACTCATGGAGCTCGAGTCCTTCTAATTTAGGATTTGGACCCTCCCCAGTTCCTCTGCCCTTTGTTTAATTCCTTAAATTAAGTTGGTTCCACAATCTTAAATTTATAGAAATTAGTTCTGATTTCTGTTTTGTTTTGTTTCATCAAAATCTTTGGAGTTCCACTTTAAATGACTTAATAAAAGCTAACTTAAAAAAGCAAGTCAGAATTATTTATGGTTTTGGGATTCTGTAACTGGGCCTTGTTGGAGCTTAATTCACTCAGAGTTTTGGAGACTGATGGCCCACTGGCAGGTTTGTTTGGCCAGCACAGTGTCTAAAAACTATTTTCGTTTTGGTTGCCAGTGTTTAAAAATTAGGATTTTTACATAAAATTCATATGTGCGTAGATAACATTACACGCATACGCACACATCTCAAATAAAAATAAATATTTAAAACTCCACAAAGATTTTTCTCTTGAAAAACAAGACTAGCTGGCCACCATGACAACAATTAGCTGGCTCTGAGTAGCAGCTGCTAACGCAGAGGAGCAACTATCTCCAGTCAGCACAGCTTTTGCCTTTCCCTATGGCAACTTACCTGGTGGGCGTTCCTTGTTTAAAATAACTGCCTGGGTCATGCAGGCATCTATGTTTGCAACCTTATAGGTAGACCTGTTGTCCACTGTTAATTAACCAAACTAGATGTTTATTACCTCAAGAAATCTTGCCTGCTTCTTCACATAGTAGATTTTCCAACCAGTGGGGGGACGTAGGCTGCTGTGATTTCTTTACTTAGATTAAATGAAGGTAATTTTAAAATTCAAGAATAAGGCAGAGTATTTCTAAGAAAGGATGACCCAGGAATTCTGACATAGGAGAAGGAGATACTTACACACACACACACACACACACACACACACACACACACACAGAGATCATTTAAGCCCTCCCACCCTAAGAATAGCCAGTGACGAGTACAAGCATTCTGGTCTCAGTCACAACAGGTTTCAACAAGTTTTTTTCTCACACTGGAAGAAAATAAGACACTTAGCAGCAATGCTTGGGTAATTCTGGCTCCTGTAGGTGCTGCAGAGAGACCCCTTTAACTGCCCTGATTTCCAGCTTCCTCCCTGATGCACACCCAGCCCACATGCATGTTAAGTCCATCCTTCTGTATCTCTGTGTTTTTTGATCTAATTCTGGGAATCCAGGATCCACATGAGGCTGGAGAGGGGGAAAGGGTGGGGTTTGAGGGAAAAGAGAAAACTGGGTGGGGAAATGATACCAATAAAACAGCACTCTGCAAGCGCATCAGGGAAAATGCTAGCATGGAGTGTGCTTTGTTATGGTGTGGGCCAACAAAACAGCTCATCTTCTGCCATCATTAGAAAAACAGATGGCAGTGGGGTGGGGAGGTGGGGAGAGGAGGAGTGAATCATACTGGGCAGGGGGTAAGAAGGAGGGAAGAGAGGAGGCCAGGGAAGGAGGGAGATAAACAGACACAAGACTAGGGAGCTGGGAAGAGATCAAAGGGATCCTGAGAATTCCCTTCTGCTGCTTCTATGCATGATCTCAAGTGGGAGGGTGGATGACAGGGCTTGGAGCTGGCTTCCGTGTTTCCCAGAAGGTTATAATATAGTCCTTTCCCCATTTGTTCTCCCCTCCTCCCTGCACCCCAGCACATCAGTGGGGTCACTTATCCAGAGCTTCCTAGGCTGTCATCAGTCCCTTTGTTGATGTGACAAGGAATGAAAGCTCCATGTCTCCTCTGCCTGACTGCTGGGCTGATGTCTCCTGACTGCTACCAGGCAACAGCTGTTGATTCCCCAGCTCCAGTGGTTCTCAGCATCACCTGGGAATCTATTGGAAATGCACATTCTCAGGCCCCCAAACACCTTCTTGATTAGAAACTGGGATTGGGGCCCAGCAGACTGTTTCAACAAGCTTCCACCTGACTCTGAGGCTTGCTAATATTTGAGAACCACCACCCCAACTGAGAGTTCGTTGTGCAGCAGTAATTGTAGCCAACGTTATTTAGCCACTTAGAGGGTGGAAGGAAGATGCAACGATACAGGTGAATCAATCCCCATAGGAAAGGAAGGGGAACTGGACAGGGGAGAAGGAGAAAAACTCTGAAGAAATAAGTCATAAGAAATGCAGAGAGGCAGGGTAACAATGAAAAAGAAGGGACAAGAAAGGCTGAAACTGGCATGCTCTAGGGGCAACTTGGCAGACCCTTAATTCTTTACTGGAAAAAGTCAGTGAAATATATTAGGGAGAATAGAAGAGTGTCAGGGACACATGGAGGGAAACAGAGCAGAGGCAAGATAAAGCAAAGGGGGCCAGGTAGGAGAGAGGAAGTTTTTAAAAGTACAGCACAGAAAACTGAGCTCGGATCAGGCACTTTGTTATCCAGTATCTAAGAGTCTTTTCTTTTTTTGCTTTCCAGTACTGAATATCATTCTAAGAGGCCTCCTTTTGCTATTTAGCCTTGTAATGGTGGAGTGCCTCATTCATTATTTCTCCCAATAAGCCCAGGCAGTAAATCCACCAGCTCAGTATCCCCAGCCCATATTGCCCTTCACGTTACTTCGGCACCTTTGTTTGCATCACATTCTCTTGGCATAGGGTTTGCTGTTAATTCTCCACTCTTCTATGCTGCTTACATTTTCTGAGGTGCCCCTAAGACTTTCCTTAACAAATCTTATCTAAATAATTCCATCTTCTTATTGCCACTTATGTGTTCCCATTGTCCCAGCAAGAACACGCGTGTACTACGTATCTGCAATCCAAAATTGTTTGTACGTTCAATTCTCTTTTTTCCAGTTGTCACTTGCATTTGCCCTTTGTGACCTGAACACTCTGTATTTTCTTTCTCTTTTGTAAACTGCATTTGGGCAAGGAATGGCACCTTGGTTAGTGGAAAATTTTTGAAGTCAAACGGCTCTAGATTCCAATCCTGGGTCAGCTGAGTAAATATGAGCCTCTGTGTTGGAAAGTGGGGCAACAATGTTATTTTAAGTGTTGTTATGAGGGGTGCATGTGATAACATACAGAAAGCATTTGGTGTCATGCCTGGCCTGTAAGAGATTCTTACTGGTGCCATTTGTTGTGCCCTATTAACCACTTGGTGAATGTTTACTGAATGAGTAAAGCAGAAAGCAGGGGCATTGCTGCTGGTGTAGCCTCAATATAATTAGTTGTAAACTCTGAAGATGTGAAAAAGGAAAGGAAAGGAAAAGAAAAGGGAAAGAAGTCATTCCCTTAGAGACCAGCCGAGATCCATACTTCCCCAGTGACTTGGAGAGAGCGACTGTGTCCAGTGAGCCATCAGGTCAGTTGGTCACCAGATCATTATATGAGTAGCTCTACTCATTCCCACAGTTGCCCTCACTGGTTGGGACCTCAACATTTCTCATCTGGACTGTTGCAGTAATTTCGTAATTGTTCTTCCTTCCCCCGGACCTGTGCCCATGAATTTTCTTCATCCCGCCTATTGCTATTACAGGGTTCTTTCTATGTGTCTCTTCTGCTAATAATATTTCAGGAACTCCCCATTGTTTTCACATTTAAGTCCAACTCCTTTGCAGGTAGTAAATAAGCCTTTGTCTTTCATCCTTCTGTCTCTTCAAATCTCTTTGTGCACACTCTACTCCAGACATAAAAAGCCTTTTGCAACACTACTCTAAAAAGTGCTTGGGCTTCGCACTGTCTGTTCATTTGATCTAGGATTGAGTATTTGTCCTACCTGTGGGGTGGCCCTAGGCAATTGCATTATATTTTTGTGCCCCATTACCCTCAACAGAGTTTTAATAGGGTTTTTATAACAGGATTTTAATAGTAACACTTATCTCATAAGGTTATAGTGAAGAGAAATGAGTTATTATACTCAGTGACTCAGTCTAATGTTTGTACATAATTGTGCATTATAAATATTACCTACCTTCATTATCCATCACAGGAGTATTGTTGTTACCACGTTACTTCCCTCCCTGTATCTTTATGCATGTTGAAACCCATTCCCAGGGCTCATCCCATGACTTATTTCTCTAAGCCAGTGATTTTCAGCTAGGGACAATTTTGTACCCACCACCTATCACATTAGGGGAAATGTCTGGAGACATTTTTAGTTATCACAACTGGGTGAATGGGGGAGCTGCTGAAATATAGTGGGTGCAGGCCAGGGATGCTGCTGAATGTCGTACAATGTGCAGGATAGCCCACAACAAAGAATGATCCTGCCCCAGATGCCAATAATACTATCCTTGAGACAATGCTGTGTACTAACTCCTATTGAGCTTTCAACACATTTTTGCAGGAATTTTTCCTACTTGGAGTATTTAATGACTGGCACTCCACCCACCACCTACCCTCAACCACAGATGGGTTATATAATCATACTCTGGTCTCTATTTTACCACTTAGCACCTTAGGGAAAGTATTGGTTTCCTGTGTGTCTGCCTTATGACACTGGCTACTTACAAGCTGAAAATACTGTCCTTTCCATTATTATATCTTAGCTACTCAATGCAATGTTTGAAATAACTGGGGCTTGAAAAACATTTATTGACTGAAAGAGTAATTTGTATATGGCTTATAAAATTATAAATATGCTAATCTTTTATGATAACTATGTAAAAACCATGTCAAGTGCTTGACCAATAAAGTGTACTCTCTTCCCAACATGGAGAAAGGAAGAGAGGAAAAGAAAGAGGAAAAATGGTTTTCCTTATCTCCTGGGTAGTAATTGAAGTGAGTGTTCACTCCATCTGTGAATACTGTGATACTATCAGATAATAGATAGGGGAAGGATCCCCTTCCTTCCCTCCCTTTTTCCCTTCCTTCCTTTCCTTCCCTTTATTTCCTTCTTTCCTTCCCTTCCTTCCCTTATTCCCTTCCTTTCTTTCCTTCCCTTATTCCCTTCCTTTCTTTCCTTCTCTTCCTTCCCTTATTCTCTTCCCTTCCT